GGGTCACCTGAGTGGGGCAAATGGGTCTGGAGTCTTCTTGGCTACAGGATGTTTTCTACCCTGTGTCCTTCTTGGAGGAGAAGCGAAACATCTTCAAAATAAAAAAACAGAAAGTCCAGTTGCCTCTTGAAGAAAAGCACCTTTGGGTCAACCATGGCCTGGAGGACTGAGAATCTACAGATTTTTAGCTATGCAATTTGGGATGGAGACCCTTGGAATGGTGGGGGAGTAGGAATGGGTTTCCAGAGGGGAAAAAATGGCAGACTACAGGAACCATTTGCACCACTCAGGTGACCCGGATAAACCTCCAAGTGGCCTCAAGGACCCTCTCAAAAGGATGCAAATGCAAGCTGAAGAAGCTTCTTGGATGGGAAGCAAAATGTCTTCAAAAGAAAAACACAGAAAGTCCAGTTGCCTCTTGGAAAAAGGCAGCTGGAGTCTTTACTTCTTTGGGGTTCTCTGGTCGGACCGTTGGCAGAGGCCTTGATCATCCTTAAGGACCTTCCCTCCAGCACTGATATATCCCCCCCCTCCCCTCTCTCTTAAACGGCAGGCTCTCTTCCCCGGCCGGCCGGCCGCCTGCCACCCCTGCGCTCCAGACAATTACATTCCCTGCTGGAGACCCATGGATCAGTTTTGATTAATGCTCGGGAGATGGCAGGTGGCCTCCTCCATCCAGCCTTCCGCCCCGGGGGGTCCTCCCTGACCCTGGCCCTCTAATGAAGACTGCCGAGGCCCAGTCTCACCTGCACCCATGTGATGCTTCCCCGGCCTCGGCTGCAGCCCTCGGCGCTCCGGCCCCCTGCTGGGTGATGATTGGCAGCAAGAGACCAAGGTGAGACCCCAATTAGCCATGGAATCGATGGCAGTCCCTTGGAACCCCCCCCCTGCAGGCTGCCAGCCTGCCTGTGCCAGACGCTCCAGCTTGTTAAGATGGTTTAGTTCCCGGGATTCTGGGAGGGGGAGGCACACGCCCCCCTCGCCCAAGAAATAAAGACCAGATCCTCAGCACAACATGCCAGTCGCTGATTAAGGCTTCATCGACCCCTCGCCTTCCGGGGTTTGAAACTCCAAGCAATGGGCACGAGGGTGGCTGGTTTCTGGGATTTATTTCTTCCCTTTATATCAGAATAGGAAGCTGTTTCCCGCACGTTCCACAGGAAAAGGTTCACACACACACACACACACACACACGGAAGCAATTTCAGTAGCTTAGAGAAAATATTCCGATTTTGAAAGAGAGAGGCAGAGGAAGAGCTCACACAGGTATGCGAGCATAATGTTGTGGTTGTTTTGGGATAACACACTTTCAGAATGTGTCAAAGTATGGGGGAGAGTAAGTCCCCAGGGGAAGAGATTCCTTTTTTCCAGAGGGGATGGGGGTGAGTGGTGTAGAGTTAGAGTTAGGATCATTAAAAAGTAGAACTTTCTGAAATAAGATCTTGGAATAGAAATTCATTCCTCCTTCCTGCTTTCCATTCTGCCTTGCTCCTTCCTTCCATCTTTCCTTCCTTGCCTCCCTCTCTTTAATTCCTTCCTTTCTTCCTTCTTCCTGCCTTACACCATTCCCTCCCTCTCCTTTCTTCCTTCTTACCTTCCTTCCTCTCTTAATTCCTATCTCCCACCCTCCTTCCTGCCTTCCATTCTGCCTTGCTCTTTCCTTTCTTTCCTTCCATCTTCCCTTCCTCCCTCTCTCTCTTAATTCCTTCCTTTCTTTCTCCTTCCTGCCTTACATCCTTCCCTCCCTCTCCTACCTCCCTTTCCTGCCTTCTTTCCTCTTTTAATTCCTGCCTCCTTCCTGACTTCCATTCTGCCTTGCTCTTTCCTTTCTTTCCTTCCATCTTCCCTTCCTCCCTCTCTCTCTTAATTCCTTCCTTTCTTCTTTCTTCCTGCCTTACATCCTTCCCTCCCTCTCCTACCTCCCTTTCCTGCCTTCTTTCCTCTTTTAATTCCTAACTTCCATTCTGCCTTGCTCCTTCCCTCCTCCTTTCCTCCTTTCCTTCCTTCCCTCCCTCCCTCCATGATATAACAATAGGGAATGGGTTCCTTCACTCTAAAAGGGGGTACAGTAGCTCAAAGCTGACGTCCCACCCACCCCCGGAGCAAAGGAAAACTCAAGGAAATAGTGCAAGTTGGAAGAGGTGGAGAGACCTGGCCAATAGACTCACCAAGACATGACTGGACATCATCATCATCATCGTACTCCTCCTCAGAGCCTACTTTCAATGGATTGGTTGGTCATGAAACCCTACTGAATAAATCCATTCCAGGTAAACATAAAGATTTCATACGTATGTCGCTTGGCAATTCAGAGGGACACAATGTGTGGATCCGGCCATTCTACTGTGGTTTATTTGCTTCAGCAGAACTCATGTAGCCAACACACCAATATATTGTTTTTATTAACCCAGTTGTGGCATGCTGAATCTGGATGATCCTGGACCAATCGGGAATTCTGACTTCCAAGTCCTACCATAGCAATGAAAGCCAACTAGGAAACTTTACACACCAGTCTCTGTCTCTCTCTGCGTCTCTGTCTCTCTCTCTCTCTCTGTCTCTCTCTCTGTCTCTCTCTCTCTCTCTCTCTCTGTCTCTCTCTCTGTCTCTCTCTCTCTCTCTCTGTCTCTCTCTCTCTCTCCCTCTCTCTCTTAACACA